AACATTTAAAAATATCATTATTGGCACGCGTCTGACGCGCGCCCTTCTTTTTATGATTTAGGGTTTGAAATGATGAATGAATAGAATTCATATACAAAATACGCAAGTATGCGTGAATAGCAAGTCCAAAAACTTTTCAATGCACACATGCCAACGCTAAGGTACCCTTTCGAACAAGAACAAGCTAAAATGAAAGAATTTCGCATCGACTTGGCAAACCCTTTCATTATTTCATATTACTCGTCCCCTCAAAAGCGAAGAAATGCCACCGACTTTTGAGAACAATTGAATTTGTGGGTATTTTTGCTTGTGCGGACACATACACACACTAATATTAAAACGGTACATAGACAAATTGAAAGAGCACTGAGAGTAAGCCAAAGCAATTTCCTGTAGAGGGAGCGAGATAAAAAACAGCGATGCCGTTCTATCGCACAAATCATATGGATGAAAGTAAGCCAAAACAGTTTCCTGTAGAGTGAGCGAGTAAAAAGACAGCGTTGCCGTTCCACGACACAGGCCATATGTATTCTTACTCTTTTGCTGTGAGAGCATGCGGGCATGTCTCGAACCCGAACAAAAACGAAGGCGACTTTGGACCAGCCGCAAAAAAACGATTGTCACCACCAAATATACGGTTTGACCAGTCTATATGTTATTTGGTTAGTGTCACGACCCAAGTGTAACGAGTACCTGGTACTCTTGTCACCCTGTGTTGGACTTTGCTTTTGTTTATTTTTGTTATCGTTTTAGTTTATTTTGTTAAATAATTTGTATACATACATGTGTGTTAATGATAGTAAATTTTAAATGTTTGTGCGAAAAGGTTTAACAATTAAATTTGTTAAAAAAGAAGGAAGCAAACGGTTTTTAAGTTTATATATATACGTTTAGCGAATAATTTAAAAGATGCATAAATAAGTTGTTTGTAAATGCGTTTCTTGTTGCTCTCGAAATTTGTTGTAAGCTAATAAAATCGCATTAAAGCACCTATAATTATTTGCCAGTCCTAGGAAGGACCCTATCGCGTAAAAGTTTTCCGATTCAACATAATGGCTTTGAATATTCCAGGGTCTGTTTTTGCGCTCTCTTACAAAAAGCCCAAGGTACTCAATGCTTTTCTCGAAAAACTGCGTCTTCCCTCGCCCCATTTCATGTTTCCTTCTAGGAGTCATTTTAGCATCAGTCAACATGTTTGAAATGTTCTATCTCATTTTGGGAGAAGACGTCGCCAGCGTAAAGGTAGCATGATCTGCAGATTTGTTCGCGCAGAACATCGTCGATGGCTTGCAGGAAGATACTGGCCGCATTGTTCCATCCGAAAGGAAGCCTAAAAAACTCGCACCCCCATTAACAGAAAAATATGTTTTTTGGTCTATCTCGTTCCGCTAAAATAATCTGATGGTAGCTGGACTTCAGATCTAGCGTTGTGGAGTCTTAGATTTACCTAGATTGACCAATATAATTGAGTGTTTGGCATGGTGTATCCGTCAGCCTCTGTTTGTTCGATCAGTTTCCTAAAGTCGACGACGAGACGTTTTTCCTTTCCTTCAACTTGTCGGTGCCCTTCTTAACAACTACCCCTTTCGGGTTATTGTATGGGGACCTTGATTTTCTAATAATGCCGTTATCGAGGAGTTCTGCAGCTATTTTGTTTACAACATCTGCCACGCCCATTGGATATGAGTACAGTTTGATATCGACTGGGTCATCGTTGGTCGTTTTGATAGTGGCGACGATCGATGTGTTTCATGGCAGTGACTCGTTAGAGTGTGCAAAAGCATTTGGCCTTTCTTTTAACACCTTTTCGAAACTAGCCCTTACAGCAATCGGAGCGTCTGACTCGTTAATCTTGGTAAAGTTACCGTGCGTACATCTGTGATAGAGGATTGGTTCAGATCGTCTGAATTTGGGGTCGGTTTGTATTTAGGCATAGTTTTGTTCCCACCTGCGTTAAGAGATTGGGACCGATTATTCCGTCAAGTGTTAAAAGACCAACAAACACGTTTTTTTAATGCCGTTAGAGGCGTGTATGGAATGCACGGTGAAAGGTTTGTCGACAGGGGTTACGTTTTTTAGCCGCTAGCAGGGCTTTACGTAGTTTTCTGACGCACACGTGTCGATCAGAAACTTCATCGTTACCCCTGCTACTCCTTTTTGTATAAACGATAGCAGGGACTTACCCATAAACAATTTACGCTATCGTTTACCTACTCTGGTCCGCTATCGATATCTGAGGCTGCTGCTATGTCTGATTTTTCGCATGCTTTAATTGTTTTGAGGCTTTGTGATAAATGGTCTACCCTTTGCATTTCCGCTCTGAACAGCTAGATTTTTCCAAAAGTTTCCCCGATTTCCAGGAATTATTGAATGCCACCGATTGTCGTCGGTATTTTGATGAGGCGGGCTGGGGTTTTGTGTCCGCCTGTTCGGCCGCTCTACGTGCCCTCTGCGTTAAAAAAAAATAAAATAGTGTTGTCCATATTCTGGCTTGTGGGACTCTTCTACTAAGTTTCAGGCGTAGATGGGCGCGAAAGCCTAGCTTGCATGATTTGATTCAACTTCTTGGGCCAGGGCGAGTGCCGAAGGCAAGTTGGATGTCTAGCGAAGATACGCCATGATACGTAGGTTTCTTGTAGGCCAACAAATTCTAGCAGTCATTTGACCGCGTCTAAGTAGTTGTCTTCATACACACAAAATTCCGGCAGCGTTATGTGGGTGGTTATAAGCTTACCTGTTACCTCGGTTATCTGTTGCATAAACTCCAATCTCAGGTTGTTGCTGGCTTGCTCGTAGTGCCCCGCTCGCGCAAATAAGGCGCTAAATGAAGCCCTCTTAATTTATTTTCTGATCTTTTGCTTCCTAGACCAATTATTACTAATATGGCTGATCAGCCCACTAACATGTATTTTTCGTTTGGTTCTTATTATATTTTATCCACAAATATATCGACGTCACCCTGGCTTCTAGTTTCCTGAGCTCGTGGAATCTTTTCCGTTGGGCGCCAAATAAGTTGTTTCCCCTTGGTGTAGGTGGTGGCCGAAGGGCTCAACAATAAGACGATTGGAGGTTCGGTTTTTAGTTATTTTTTGGGCACAAACGGACGATATTAATGTCACTTAAAAACTTAATACCAAAGACCCTTACTTAGTGTTGCCGGAAGCCGCTGATAGTAATAACGCTGAGCTTGCGTCTCGTGCAAGAAAGCAGGTTACCATAAACACGAGTACTGTCGCTGACTGCCGCAATGCTGACCGCTACTTATGTTTTGTCAGCTTTCAGCTGCTGCCATTGCATGGTCGTTGACACCGCGGAGGGGATCAGCAGCTATCTTACATACATCAAGAATCTTTCATTTTATAGCATTCACCAGCTCCCCACCCTCTCCACATAGCTCTAAGACAATGAGAATACAGGAATATTCTTTAGCACAATACCACTGTTGAAAATTTCGTCAAGAACGTGTGCTTATATTGGCATATGTTTGCGGCAGCTAGCGCAATTGCATGTATACATGTACATGACCGTCCTTATTGAATCTGCAAGCTGCAATTGCGATTGTATTGTATTCTGTGCTGTGTGTATGTATCGAAAATGAATTGTTGGTATGGCTGTCGAGTAGAAGCGGTGGTAAGTATTGTGGCAATCGATAAAAATCGATATCGAAATTCCTATTTTAGGCATATCTCTTATGTTTTAAGAGCTAATGTCGCCAAATTTGACATGAAGCTTCTATAGTTTTATACATCAATTATCTTTTATTTAATGGCTAACGCGACCGAACTACCGAACAATTATATTTTGAGAATATACGAATATTCCATAGCACAATAAGATCTACTGCTGAAAATTCATCAAGATCGGTAAAGAAACTAAGAAGTCATTAAAGAAAACGTGTAACGCAAGAATTTCTGTATACATTTACATACATAAATATATGCATACACATAACTATTATTGCAATTACGATTGTATTGTATACCGTGCACTGTATTGTGCTGCTATTTTAGTACAGTTTTATTTCATATAGACCTAATTTTTGGTATGGCTGTGAAGTGCGGGGCGGTGGTAAGGTTGAATGGCGTTGCGAGATCGAGTCTAGAACAGGGAAGTAACTTTTTATACCCTGAACCCCAAAACGGATAATAAAAAGTAAAATGTATTTGTGCGAATGCTTAGAACATACACACAGCACAGAATACAATACAATCGGAATTAAAATGCAGCTTATAGAATTCAAGAAGACGGGCATGAATTTGTGGGTGTACATGTATACAGAAATTCTTGCAATTGAGATAGCTGCCGCAAACATGTATCAATAAAATCACATGTTTTCTTTAATAATTTCTGTGTTTCATAACCGATTTTGAAAACATTTTCAGCACTAGATCTTATTGTGCTATAGAATTGTCGTATATTCTCATAAAATAAAAAATTACTTGCAAACTATGGCGTTAATTTGTGGGCAGCTCCAACTATTTACTTGCGGAGGGTTGGCGAAAGCTATAAAATGAAGGATAATAGATCTGTATATACTATTCTAGAACTACATATCCAATTTGGTGGATCTACTTTTTATAACTTAAGAGATATTAACCAATTCCCCGGATTCGTTGGTCTTGTAGCCAGATATTTGAATTTTATTTTGTGCACCTTTTGCTTCTTACCGGCAAGATCGACTTTGGATAATACTCGGACCGGTTTGTTTCAGTGGGCACAGGATACATTTACAAATAAATTACGCATGTGTAATTTGTAGCTTCTTAGGTAACTCGAGTATTGGAGAAGAAAAAACTTATAAGTCAACGTTGCATGAAATAAAATTTCCCAAAGGTCAAAGTAGCTGTGTGATTCAGAATAATAAGCATTTGCATGCTGTGTATCACATCCAAATTGCGTTTGTATTGCTCGAATACATGATTGTTAATGATACCAATGCTAGTTGCAGTGCATTTTTCCAGAAACTGAGTGGAACTGGATATGACTGAGGATTGACTTACCTGCCGATTGTGCGACCAGATGACGGTTGGAGGTGGTTCCGGTGCAAATCTTACAATGCAAGTTAAATTAATGGTGGAACCTTTATTGATGTGTAACTCGGGGCCGCCAATAACCTCCGTGATAGGCTCTGCATTGGGGGAGAGATAAAGATAAACAACATAGCGTTACTCTGTGAAAAAGTCACGTCAGATCCAGCACTACCGTTACATATATCGCACACGGGCCGTGCTCTTTACAATTCTCCAAAATACGACTGAAAGACAAGTAAATGACTCCCATAGTCCCCTGTCACCCTGTACAAAGCACCAAGCTCTACACAGCTTACAAGCAGTCTAACTTTCTTTCTTACATATCTTCATATATAAAACTGTTTGCCCTGACTGATTAGTGATCAACGCACAGTCCAAACCTTCAGAGCTAGAAAGCTTTAGTTAACAAAACACGAAAAACGGTTGTGTAAAACATTTTGATTACCGTACGATATCAACATCATTTTCATAGATCTTTGTTCAAATTCATGTGCGGGGCTTACACTTTTCTGAAAATCCACTTCTCCTTGCTATAAATGGGCGTCAGAGATATGATGTGTGAAGTTTCGCGATTAAATTTGTTTTCAAAGATCTTTATGAAATCAGACAAACAGCTCTACAAAGTTAATAAATGCATGTTTTAGCGATTTAAGAAATTCCAACAGTGCTGAATTGAATTTGAAAATTCACAAACGATAGATATAGATATGTCACTCAAATCTGGGTTAATAACATAGTCTAAAACATTGAAAATGGGTAAAATGGGTATAAGAAGTTTTGCAAATAATGGTTGTGCAAATGTGTTGTACAGACAGAAAAAAGAACCTCCGACCCCATCGAGTATATATATCTTATTCACCATCACTAGCGGATTTGATCTGGCCATATCCGCCTGTCCGTATGTATTAACGCAAGGATCTAAGAACTTATAGAGCTAGAGACTTGACATTTGAAACGTAGGGCCTCCTAGTGCTCGCGCAGTACGAGTTTGTTTCTGTTAAGTTTGACCACTAACCAAAGAACATATAGATGGGACATGCCGTATAAGCAAAGTGGGCAAAAAAAATCGGTGCATATGGTCCAAAAAAAGAGTAAGATATACATATGATGTCTTTTTATTCGCTTACACTATAGGAAACTACTTTGGCTTACTCTCTTCCATATGTTTTGTGCGATAGAACGGCATCGCTGTTTATTTTTATCTCGCTTGCACTTACTCTCAGTGCTCTCAATGCTCTCTTTGTGTCTAGGTACCGTTTAAATGTTTGTGTATGTGTCCGCACAAGCAAAAATGCCCACAAAATCAATTTTTCCGAAATATCTTCCCTTTTGAATGGACGAGTAATATGAAATAATGAAAGGGTTTGCCACTTCGATGCGAAATTCTTTCCTTTTAGCTCGTTATTGTTTCTATTCAGAATGCTGATTGAGCAAATGCTTTTCGGCTGCAAAATCGTAGCACTTGCGATGAGGTAATCGTGAAACAGCCAACAACATTTGCAGACGCATACGAGGTTGCAAATTCCAGGAATCTGTTACCACGATCAGCAAAAGCAGTTAATGACAACCAAGCTGCAGATACGGAGTCTAGACGCAAGCCGGGTTTTTCGCCAATCAGGAAAAAGCCTTCATGCGGATTGAAGAAAGGAAGCTAGAGCTAAGGGAGGCCAACACTTGCGCAGAGATTGCAAATTCAAAAAGGAAAAATGCGACGTGTGTGGTAAAGTAGGGCATATATGCAAGGTAAGTAAGTCCAATAAGAGACTGATCTCCGAGTCAACAGATTCAGACGACCCGGAAGAGATACAATTTATACAATAATCGAATACCAATGACATCAAGTCAGTGGGTAGAAAAATCTTAACAATGAAGACTGATGGAATGTAAATACCAATGGAACTACACACAGGTGCTCCGTGCAGCATAATGAATGAAAAGACTCTTCGGATAAATAAACATTCAATACGATTAAAGAAAACTGACCGAAAATGTTCTAGTAATCCAGGGCAGTTGTCAACGTGACTTATGGAAAGACTACACGTAAACTAAATCTTTATGTAGTCGAAGGATACCTGAACTGTGAACACTGTGTTGGCAAAAAAGGATCTACTAATTTGCAAATGAAACTGATTTTACTGGAATCTGTACAAAAGATGCTTTTAACACCAACTACATAGATCTGGACATGTTCACTACAAAAGGAAGTGCAGTGAAAACAATAGGAGTACAAGTGGCGGGATTGGCTAAGAGTAAGAGAGCACACCTACAGCAACTACTAACAAAATTCGATTCGATATTTGACTCTGCAGCTGGATCGTAAAAAATGACCTACTGTTAAGGTGCACCTAAAGCCGGACGCGAAGCCCATTTTCGCAAGAGATGTACCATTTGCGTATTGCTTATGTCAAAGAGATCGACGCAAATATTGCTGTGGACTTCTATAAACGAGTTGACTACTCAGAATAGGCATCTTAAACATGCGCTAACGACAGAAATGAGAGGTTTACGAATCACTGGCAACTATAAACCTACTGTAAATTCTCAAATGATCATTGATGAGCATCCGATTCCGAAGACAGCGGATATATTCACAGGGCCCACTTGAGTATAGTAAAAATGCAGGGTATTACACGCTCTACTGGTCATGAATCGAAAGGGACACCGAGAATGTGGCAAGAACTTGCGAGTTCTGTGGAAAACATGCGGATCGACCTCCAAAATGCGCCGATCACTATTTGGAATACCCTATACGCGGTCCCATTTGAAGGTGCCATGCTTTTGATTGTTACGGATGCATACTCAAATAAGTTGGACGTGATGGTCACCAAATCAATTACGGCAACCACGACAAGCGCATTACTAAATGACTTCTTTCCTACGTATGGCGTCCGCCTCATGGTAGTGTCCGATAACGGGACAAATTTCACTTCGACTAAATTCAATCAATACCTCACATCTGTCAGCGTCAAATATCACAAGTTATCGGCACCGTATCACCCAGCAACGAACGCTAAGACAATTGGACCGAAAGACACGCCTCGCATAGCACAACTGGCGAATCTTCAGCGACCAGAAACCATCATGGAAAAGGTATCAGCAAAACCACATTTAAAATGCTAGCAAACTTGGCACCAATTCGGGATTAAAGATGTAGTTTACTTCATTTCTGGAAACCCGTGAATGGATCAGTGGATACGAGGAAAGACTGTGAGACGTTTGGGCAGCCTTCATTATGAAATTCGACACAACAATAAATTCTAAAAAAAAAATATATCAAACAGATCCAAGGCACACAGTTGAAAGAGGAAGAAGAACAACAAAACAAACAGGTAAAGAATCCAGAAAATACACCTCATCAGCAAAATTATAAATTCGCCGCCTGCTGTTTCCATAGCAGACCAGAGACTAAGAGAATGCAGCATTGGAGCAGATTTAACTACCGGCAAAAGACAGGGCAGTCAAGCTGACGAAAATTGTAGCTTCAGAAAACCGAAATCGTCGCGCACAGCTGAAAATAATAGTTCACTAAATCAAGATGTACTGATTTCAGTACCACGGGGATCGCCAACTTTACGAAGATAAGCACGTATAGAAATACCAACGCGAACGGAGCAAAGTGTACGTCGCGCAACTCGAGTACATAAACCAAGAACATTATTCTCACCCGTTCCTTTAGAAGAGCAACAAATGTTATGTTTGTTTTTTATACCATGAACCCATTAAAAATGAGTTAAAGGGTAAAATGTATTTGTGCTAATTTATGCAGGATGAAGGAAGCATCTCCGACCCCATAAAGTATATATATTCTTGATCAGCATCAATAGCCGAGTCAATCTAGCCATGTCCGTCTGTCTGTCCGTCCGTTCGTCTGTCCGTATGTATGAACGCAAGGATCTCAGAGCCTATAAGAGCTAGAGACTTGAAATTTAAGCTGTAGGTCCTCCTAGTGCCCGCGCAGTGATTTGATTCCGATATTCGATAACTTTCCCCGTTTCCAGGTAATCGATAAAAATCAATATCGAAATCCCGTTTTTTGAGCAATTTTGGTAAATAATAAGAGCTAGAGTCACCAAACTTGGCATGTAGCTTCTAGAATATATTGTGATATGCGCACATATAGAGTACACACTGTACTCAAAATATATCAAACTATCACACTGTAACACTTTGTTGCAGTGTTTACATATGCACATTTCAAGTGCATACATATGTAATATGACCACACATATATGTGTGTAGGCAACAACGCAGCGTCAGCGTTTCCCACGCAAGCCGGCTGCGCACTACAATACATAAGTGCACATATCATACTCTCTCTCAGCGCGGCTCTCAATGCTGCTTACAAATATAAGTATATAATATAACCGCTCCGCTGCCGGCGTCGCTGGCAGCGCAGTTCGCGCGGTCTTAGGTAAGTAGTAAGTAAAGATTGTAAGATTCATTCAGAAACAAAGAGCTAAACAATAAAGTTTGCATTGGAGCAGAAAATCCAATGAATAAAAGAGTTTATATTGGAACTTATTTCTACAATAAGTAAGAAATATTAAATTTAAAAAAACATTAAATAAACGTCGCTTCGTTGTGCGCCGGCCATTGCCCGCCAAGGAGAAGAAGCAGACCATCTCTAAGGCACCCAGCCCATCTCACCCCGCAGTGCTACAGCGCCAAAACAGCCGCATTGCCCTGGAAAAGGAATAATAAATAAAACTTTGCCATGGAATTGACATGTGCGATGACCAGCACCGGCACCGCCTGAGCCCATAGGCCCCGGACTACTGCAGCAGAGAAAAAAAAAAAGGAATATAACAAATTTAAATCAAGTTTACATTTAAACCAACAAAGTGGATTCCGTCAGCCTAGAGGATACTGCTCCTGTTGAGCAAAGGGATGCACCGAGCCTGGCTGAGGCTTTAGAGGTGTATCCAAACGATGGACCCCGCCCACTCACATTAGCTGAGTACAGGGCAAGACAACTGAAGAAACCACCCAAGAAGACGAAGCGTGGTGGACGGATAAGAAAACTTCTCCGAAAAAGACGACTGGAACTGGATTTACAGAAAACTTACACCAACGAGGAAGACCGACAACGCTGCCAAGA